GACTTGCGCGGTGGGACCCGCCGTGGGCGCGGCTGGCTCTGCCCACTCCTGCCCCTCTCTTCCACACCCTGCGCCCGCCGCCATGAAGGACTCGCTGGTGCTGCTGAGCCGCGTCCCGGCGCACCCGGATTCCCGCTGCTGGTTCCTGGCCTGGAACCCCGCGGGAACCCTGCTGGCCTCGTGCGGCGGCGACCGTAGAGTGCGCATCTGGGGCACCGAGGGTAAGGCCCCTCTAGCCGCGCGACCCCGGCGCCCAGGGAGCGTCTGAACGCAGTGTGAGTGCGCAGCCTGCCCGGAGGCCCACCTGGCCCCGGCTACAGGCCCAGGGAGAGGCGACCGTCCTGCCGGGCATCAGCCACCCACCAAGGGGTTTTCTAACAGAGGACTCGGCCAGCAAGGAGCAAAAATGTCAACAGACGGGCCGAAACTGTTGAGGGAGTTGTGATAGTTGTGAGGCAGGAAAATGGGGAGAAAAGGGGGGTAGGAAAGTAGCCTGCAGGTAACTTGCCACTGGATGAAGTTTAAATCTTTTTTTTTTTTTTTTTTTGGAGAGGTTTTTGCTACAGGGTGCGTGCACTCACCAGAAAGACAGGGCGAGACAGAGAGACAGCGGGGGTCGGGGGGTGGCCACACCGCAATCCCTTCTCCTTTCTCCTCTCGGGATCTTGGGCATGTACGCACACGCGCCTGGCTTGAGTTTAAGCCACTGAGTCCAGGACTCGAACTGCGGTGGACTACATGGGAGTTCAGCAACATAGCCATTATACTTACTGCTGGTCCCAGAAGTTTAAATCTTATCCAGAGGGCACTGACAGTTCTGGGAACCGTTGGCAGCTTTAAGTGAGCAGGGTGACTCCTCAAATTTGTTTTGGAGGGCTGTCTCTAGAGGAGGTACAGTACATTTCATTTTTTGTAAAACACGTTCCAAATGCTCATTGAGCTTTGCCTCCCAGCTTGACCCTTTTTTAAAAAAAAAAATCATGATTTAATTAAATTAATTAATTAATTTTAATTTGACCAGGGAGAGACAGAGTGAGCGAGAGAGAGTGAGAAAGCAAGCCGCCAGGTCCGGGAGTCGAACCGCGGTCAGCCATGTGGGAGTCCAGTGTCCCCAACCACCACACCACCTGCCAGCCCCTCCCAGCTTGACTCTTAATACTAGCCCCCATTACCCAGTGGCATTGATGATGCTCTAACACCTTCTGGAGCACCTGCCTGCAGAGCCTGGCCTGTCCTCTGCCTGTAGGTGACAGCTGGATCTGCAAGTCTGTCCTTTCTGAAGGCCACCAGCGCACTGTGCGGAAGGTGGCCTGGTCTCCCTGTGGAAATTACCTGGCCTCCGCCAGCTTTGATGCTACAACTTGCATTTGGAAGAAGAACCAGGATGATTTCGAGGTAACCAGTCTGGGTGGGAACAGGATTGTTCCCTGTTTGCTCCCCGGGGGTGGTTTTAAAATCTAGCCAACCTGGGCCTGTTGTCCTGCCCTGTGAAAAAGACTCCAGGGTTCTTAGCTGCCGTTAATTGCCTCCCTTTTCCCTCTTCAGTGTGTAACCACTCTTGAGGGCCATGAAAATGAGGTCAAGTCAGTGGCTTGGGCCCCATCAGGCAACCTCCTGGCCACCTGCAGCCGAGATAAGAGCGTGTGGGTCTGGGAAGGTGAGTCTGGTCCCTTGCGAAGAGTTGGGAACCAGCAGACAGGCATTTCCCTCTGGGTCCATAATAGGGTAGGCTCTTGGATTCCTCCTTTTGTCTCCCCAGTTGATGAAGAGGATGAGTATGAATGTGTCAGTGTCCTCAACTCCCATACACAGGATGTCAAGCATGTGGTTTGGCACCCGAACCAGGAGGTAAGAGTCAGGCGAGGTATCTTGCGGGGAAGGAATCTGGTGTGGAGGCGTGTGCCCAGCCTTACTCTTCAGCCTCATTCTGGCTTTTATACAGATCTCTAGCTGACTAAAACCCCTTAGTCCCTTTATAGAAACAGCCCTGTCCTGGCAGGGGGAGGTGTTGGAACCACGGGCAGTTCCTGGGCCACACACAAGTGCTGGATCTTCCTCCCTCTCCTACCCCTAGCTGTTGGCCTCTGCCAGCTACGATGACACAGTGAAGCTCTATCGAGAGGAGGAGGATGACTGGGTGTGCTGTGCCACGCTTGAGGGCCATGAATCCACTGTGTGGAGCCTGGCCTTTGACCCCAGTGGCCAGCGCCTGGCGTCTTGCAGTGATGACCGTACAGTGCGTATCTGGCGCCAGTATCTACCAGGAAACGAACAAGGTGAGGGTCCGGTACTGGTGCTCAGGTTTCAGTCTGCTAAGACGTATATGAATGGCAGCACACTGGGGTAAACAGGTGCCGTGGGAGGGCTCCAGACAGTGCTAGGAGAGTTGGGGGGACACAGGTCCTTGCATCTGTATAGAAAGGTGAGTAGGATTTTAACAGAGAAATTTAGCAGGAAGAGAATTCCAGGTGAAAACCCAAAAAAGCAATAGTCAAGGCGTTGAGAATGCCTAGACTTATGTGGGGAACAGTGGTTTTTCTTTTTTTAGATGGGATATGTTAGAATTAGAATATAAAGGCTTTGGGAACGAATACAGTAGGTTGGGACTATTGGCAGGTGACCTTAATAGGCTACCTAGTTCGGTACACCCTGCAGCAGAACAGGGCTGTTTTTGGCTCAGAATTGTGCTTCAGAAAGACCATCCTAGCCACAGTGTGTAAGGCAGATCGGTCCATCCATGCAAATGGGACCGGGAATGGAGACAGATTCAAAATTGATCGAAGGTGGGGTGAGAGAGGGCAAGTTATGTTCTCTGTGGTAGTGCAGTTTCTCCCCTGAGGTGCCCGGGCATAGACACATCTGAAGTTTGAGAGGTCTGTTGTGCAGGGGTGGCGTGCAGCGGCTCTGACCCCAGCTGGAAATGTATCTGCACTTTGTCGGGCTTCCACTCCAGGACCATTTATGACGTCGCTTGGTAAGGCCTCCACCCCCTGCTTTCCGTAGAGCAAATATGGTAGAGGTGTCATGACCCAGTGCTGCCCTCTACCACCTGGGGGAGGTATGTGGAAACAGCAGCCACCCATTCCTGGCTATGAGACCCGACTTTACCAGGGCTGAGGGCTGGCGGGCTTGAGAGTCACAGGAGCCCAGAGCAGATTTAGACCCAAGCCTGTACCTGGGTTAAGATCCAGGCTGTGAGGCAGCACCAGCCCTTGGGGTTCACGGCCGTATGCCATCTAGATGTTATGACTGAATGTGGGTTTACAGCTGGGGTTTTATGGTTGGTAACACACTATACCTTACAGAGGCTAGGAAAGCTGCCCCTTTCATACCAGGAGGGAGGTCAGCAGTTCTGGCCAGTGAAAACGCTGAAGGCACCCAAGCTTTGCTTATATTAGTGAATGTTTCCGAATAATCTGTATAATCTGTATTCAGCAAAAATGGCTTAAGTTATGATACTGCTGGTTTTGTATTTTTTTTTTTTTCTTTTTAGAGAGTTTTGCTATAGGGTGCACACTGGAGAGACAGAACAGGGAGATAGAAAGCAAGAAATTACCCCCCAGGAGGGATGACCACATCACAATCCCTTCTCCATTCTCCTCTCGGGATTTTGGGCACATATGCACACATGCGCCCAGCGTGAGTGTTAAGGCGCCTGGTCTGGGATTTAAACCGTAGTCAACTACGTCAGTCCAGCAATGTAACCATTACTCCATCTGGTCCCAAAACTGCTGAGTTTTAATTTACTCAGTTTAACTAGTGCGGGGAAGAACCAGACAGAAGCCCTGAAGACATGGGGGTGACGTCATGGCTTTATATTTATGCTTTGGTGAGAGATTTTTAGCTGAGGCCTGACATTTGGGACTAAAACAGGCCAGGGACTCTATGGCAAATCTCCCCTACCTTATCTGCCAGGCTGGGGAAGGAGGAGCCACCTACATACCCACTCAGGTGTGCGTTCTCCCCAGGTGTCAGCTCACGGGGGCTCTGGCTACGGCCTGTGGAGATGATGCCATCCGAGTGTTTGAGGAGGACCCTGGCTCAGATCCGCAGCAGCCCACCTTCTCCCTGACAGCCCACGTGCAGCAGGCTCATTCCCAGGATGTCAACTGTGTGGCCTGGAACCCCAAGGAGCGGGGGCTCCTGGCCTCCTGCAGTGATGATGGGGAGGTGGCCTTCTGGAAGTATCATCGGCCTGAAGGTCTCTGAGCTACCTCAACTTTGTCAGTCATGGTTCCCCAGAAGATGTCTAAGACGTTCAGCTCCTGAAAGGGCCTGAAGGAAATCCTTGGCCGTCCTTTAACTTGCCTCACTTTACTCAGAAGAGCAGAGCCACAGAACCACTCACTGTGCACCGGGACCTCAGTCAGGAGCTACAGAGGACCAGTGCAGTGGTGGTGCACCCGTTTGCTTGCTTTGGGACACAGTGCCATAGAGTGCGTGTATCTGTAGGAGGGGCGTGTCAGCCCTCGCTGAAATTGTAAACTTTATAGACATAATTGTCTCAAGTTCTATTTTATAACGATATTCACAATTTAAAATAACTCTGGTGAATCCTTGTCTGAAGTATCTTCCCAACTTCTAGGTAAATTCTTGCATTTAAGGCATTCAATCAATATTCAGGGAAACTTTTTTCCCTTAATGTAGCTTCATTTAAAGGATGCCTTTGCTTTCCCTTAGAAGCCCTCATACACCTCTTGCACCTTTATGCTGTGCTAGCAACTGGAGACAAAAAATAAACAGATAAAGATGTGAACCCTAAAAGGGAAAGTTATTTCTGGCCACAGGCCATCCATTCTCAACAGGGATGCAAACTGGTTCTTTGGTGGGGGGACAGATAATATTGAGAACAGCTCACAGCACTCTAGAGGACTACAGACAAACACGACATAGCTGGTATTACATGCCCATGGTAGGGTGATGAGGACGAGGTGGCAAATAAGGTTCCTTAAATGAAGGGATAATGAAAAAAGTTGAGAAATGCTTCCATGTGTCACACACAATCAGATCTTCAGTCGAGAGTTAACGTTTCTCTCACAAATGGATTTTGATGTAATTGCCCTAAGGCTATAGCCCTAACTTTTTACACTATTGAATTTTTGGCCTTAGAGCCACACACAGTGGTGCACAGGTGGTGCCACCACTCAAGGGGCTGGAAGCCCCAGGAGAGATACAGGTTCGGTTCCTGGGTCAACCTGAGCATGCAGGGAGGATGCAGTTGGGCACACTGGTAATCCTAGCTAGGGGAGGCTAGGCAAGAAGACCACAACAGACCGCCAGAAATGTCCACCCTGTGTGCCTCCTTTCCCTTTTCCCTCGTACTTCATAAAGGGGGGGAAATGCTGACCTTAGATTTTGGAAGGGGCTGGGGCAGTACCTAGCAATGGTTTTGTTTTTGTTTTTGTTTTGCTATAGGGCGCATGTGCTCACCAGAAAGACAGAGAAGGAAGGCGAGAAATCACCCCCACAGGGGATGGCCACGCCACAATCCCTTCTCCATTCTCCTCTCAGGATCTTGAGCATGCACGCACATGCACCTGGCTTGAGTTTAAGCCACCAGGTACAGGACTTGAACTGCGATCAGCTACGTGGGAGTTCAGTGACATAGCCATTACGCTAACTGCTGGTCCCCCTAGCAATGGTTTTCAAAGTGGACTGCAGGTCCCTAGGAACCCCAAGACCCTTTCGGGGCGTACTTGTGAGATGTTCGTACTGTGGCATGAATTGAACAGTAGCAACAAGCTAGTAGTCTTCACTGCCTGCACTCACAGTAAAAATATTGCCAACTTCACTTTAGAGATACCTTTGATAGAACCAATAAAATCAATTATATTAATCTTGACCCTTGAGAATATTTCTAATATAGTGAGAAAATGGGAAGCATGCATAAAGCACTCCTCCAAGTATGATTATCTTGAGGAAAAGCACTTGTGCAGTTAAGTTGCAGGCTGTTTTTCATAGTGCATCATTTGGTACTCGGACACTGACAAATCAGCTATTGGGTTGTTGGAGAAGTCATGATGCATTTTTGCACAGAAAAACAAAAATATGTCATGACTTTTCTGACGACCTAATATTTTGCCAACATTTTCTAGAAAATGGAATGAGCCTTTCAAGGAAAACTACTGTAGTACTGTCAATGATAAAATGAAGCTTTTAACCAAAAATGAGAATTTCTGAAGATGCACTGTTGCTATGAGCTTGATGGTGATAGTAACAAACATGTACAATGGAATCCATCAACTTTGGAAGAGGTGCATAATTCAGTGAATCATTTTCCAAACAACCAATACATGATATAAAATCATTCATGGATAAGACATCCAAAGTGTACAACCAATTATTTTTTGTAGAGGTTTTTGCTATAGGGTGTGTGTGCTCACCAGAAAGACAGAAAACGAGAAATCACCCCCCAGGGGGGATAGCCATGCTGCAATCCTCCATTCTCCTCTTGGGATCCTGGGCCCACACACACACTCACCTGGTGTTTAAGCCACTGGGTCCAGGACTCAAACTGTGGTTGATTACATGGGAGTCCAATGACAGCCATTATGCCAACTGCTGGTCCCCCCAATTTTTTTTTTTTTTTTTTAATTCCTATAGGGCACATATGCTTGCCAGAGAGAGGGAAAGAAAGTAGCCCCCAGGGAAGATGGCCACATCGCAGTCCCTTCTCCATTCTCCTCTTGGGGTGTGCATCCAGGGTGTTTTTCAGGCTGCTGAGTTTGGGCTCAAACTGCAGCTGGCTGTGTGGGATCCAGTCACCTTAGCCTCTAGATGGCCTGACCAGTACATGTTAACAATACTACAAAACATACTAGACTGACACAAAAGGAACTTCAAAGAACACTGATAAGATTTCAGATTCCACATTGCCTTTAAGAAACTACTACTTGTAGTCTTGGCATAGTATCAAAGATTAGCCACATTTTCCTTAAGTTTATTTAAAAACCCCTTCCTTTTTCAGCTACATACATAGCTGTTATATCAACTGACAACTCAAACATATCAGAATGACTATAGAAGCAACTGTGAGAATACAACCATCTTCTATTAACCCAAGAGATTTGTAAAATTATACCCAATGCTTTCTGGATTTATGTTTTGGAAGTTACTTCCCATAAAAATATGAATGAGGGACCAGCAGTTAGCGTAATGGCTGTCGCTGGACTCCCACGTAGTCGACCGCGGTTCAAGTCCCAGACCCAGTGGCTTAAACTCAAACCAGGCGCGTGTGCGTGCATGCCCAAGATCCCGAGAGGAGAATGGAGAAGGGATTGCGGCATGGCCATCCTCCCGGGGGGCGGGGGGCGATTTCTCGCTTTCTGTCTCTATGTCTCTCTCTATCTGGCGAGCGCCATGCCCTATAGCAAAAACCTCTCCAAAAAAAGAAAGTGAAGTTATTTTAAAAGTTGTCTTAATAAAGTAAATAGAAATGGCTATCAATTAGGTTAAAAACTCAGGTTCTTAATTTTTACTATTAGTTTTGTTAGCATGCAAAACTAAAGAGAGGGGGGGAACGTGAGAAATCTCCCCCAAGGGGAGATGGCCACACCACAGTCCCTCCTCCATTCTCAGGATTTGGGGCACAGGCACACATGCACATACCCAGCAAGCTGCAAGGCCTCGGATTCAAACTGCACATTCAGGCATGTGGGATCCAGCTGTCTTAACCTCCATACCACCTCCTAGCCCATCAGGGTATTTTTGTAGCCCAAGACCAAGTCATTTAAAAACTGCTGACCTAGGGAAACTGCCCTTTAGAATCATTCAATTTCATGCACCTTTATTCCTAAAGAACAGAAGGCACAGCATGAAGAAAACCCAGAGATGTGGATTAGAAAATCAGTAACAAGAATGGGTCACATCCAACTGGTACATTTTCACTCCTTTCTGGGGCTGCCTCCTCCTGGGCAAATCTCAAAATAACAGACCTTGAGAAACCAAGGTCCCGGGACAGCTCCTGCAGCAGTGCTAGTATGTGGGAAACAGGAGGTGACCAAGGTCAGAGAGGACTGGAGAGGAGCACCTACCAGCGTTCACCCCCCCAGACACACTGAAACGGCTGCAGTGACGGCCCAACTAGAACGCACATTTGTCCTCGGCAGGCACTCATTATAAGCAAAACAACAAAAAATACTTGAATTGTTTTGGCTAAGACCTTAGGTTGGAAAAAGAAAACTTTAAGTTTGGAATCATTGCAAAGACAGTTTCTCCACGTTGTTTTATTATAACACAAAAGGTACTATAAAGAACACGTCCGAAAACCACACACACAGTTTATGCTCGACATGACACCAGCCAACGATGGATCCAGGGTTGGAATGCAAGGTGACATGAGAGAAAAGTTCATGAGGTGAGCGGAGACAGGCCCCTCCTCTGCCCGGCCAGACTTCATACCACTGACTGACCTGGTCTCCACAACCAAGGTCCCTCCAACTGTACATGGTCCTCACTCTGGCCCAACTCTTCTCCACCAGAGAAAAAGCCTCAGGACTCAATCTGAGTCACTGTCCGTCTCGGCTTCTTTCACATCCACACTGAACTTGTACTCCTGGTCACAGCCCATGTAAGCGTCACTCATGAAGTACAGGGTATAGTTGTGGGCACCAGTTGCTGGGGCCACAAAGTCCAGCTTCACCTAGAGAGTGCAGGCAGGAATCAGAACAGGCGTGGACACAGGGCAGGGTGTCTGCCTCTCCCACCCCCCTCCAGGACCTAGGCCAGTGGACACACTCACCTTGGCCTTCTGCTGCAGGGTCAGCCTCTTGATGGAGATGAGGCTGTTGGACTTGGCGTCTCCAATCACCACCCACCAGCCCTCTTCACGTTTCTGCAATAACGAAGCCCAACAATTTCAGTATGTAAAAACTTGACAGCCACAGAGGACCAGAGGTGTAACTAAGTAGGGTAACAAAATCAGACCAAAAGCTTTCCAAAGTTTCTCCCCAAAATATAATTTGATGTGACTAAGATTTTACAACTGTGAAGAAGGATTTTACACAGACTTAATTTTTCAGTAAGTGAGCCTATTTGCTGATTCCGGCTCATTTTCTTGTCCAAGTTACCTCCCCCTACTTAGTGCTGGCCACTGAATCTAAGATTTCACTATTACAGATCCAGTCTGGGGCCACTCCACTATCACAAAGCCCACGTGTGCTGGTTAAAGCACTCTTCCCTTAGCCTGTCAGACACCAGTTTACAGACTTAAACATGATGGTTTATCTGGTTTCTGTTAGCAGTCTTCAGAAAGGACCAGATTTTCTTGTGCTGGTAAAGAACATGCAACTAGAAACAAAGTGGCAGTGAGAGAAACAGAGGAGACATCAACTAGAAAGGCCCAAGTGTCCTGGAGCTTTTAAAGACAAATGATCTCAGCAGCCAGAGACTGACAATACTGCACACTGCTTGTAACAAAGACCAGACATCTAAATCGTTTAAAACAGAAAACAACAAAACCCATGGTCCTGAGATTAATTCTTAGCATTGTGAGTTCATCATCACTGTAAATTTCCTTCCCCTAGTGACAATGTACCCCTGTGCCAACATCTAGCCAGGGGCCAGGCCCTGGAGCTGACGCTGGTAAGCCAGCTACCAAGACGTACCTGTGGGAAGAGAGGCGCGATAACGGGCCCTGTGACCTCCTCCTCTCGCTCCAGCTGCACAAGCACCACCACTGGCCCGCCACTGCGGGGGAAGGAGGACAGCATATCAGTGCATGGCAGTGGGCTCAGCACACATGTGGGGCCCGGGGCACGGTGCCT